TCTTCCACACTTCTTTCCTTACTGCAAAAAAATTAGAAAGTTTTAGCTGGACCCAGAAACTCAGTGCAAGACCAAGGGGTTGCCAACTTGAGGTACAGATACTATAAGTGGCATGGGCAGCCTCTGCATATGCAGCATGAAGATTGGGGATGGGACAGACAGCACAACAGCAGATAGGGCAGGAAGCAGAAAGAAAAGCAACAAATCAGACAGGGAGCAACAGGGAAGGAAGGAAGCAGAAAGCAGAGTAACAAATTAGGCAAGGAGCTGAAAGCAGAGAATGCAGGAGAAGGCAATCAGAGTGGCACTTGAGAAGGGTGCAGGGGTAATCTGTGACACCTGCATAGCTTACATCAGTGGTCTCCAAAGTGGGGTGCGCGCACCCCAGGGGGTGCGCAAGACAATCCACTGGGGTGCGGGAAGAAAATATTAGAACTTCTATTCATATTTATTTTTTATCTAAGAAAATAAGAAAGAAATTAAGCGTTACTAATATTTAATATATGGATTGACACTGCCGCCCTCACTCGGTCCATATGTCAGACAGTCATGTGTCACGTACGGTACGCGAGGTGTCCTGAGGGAAGAGTGGGAGTTCCACAATGCGGAGGTACAGTGTACAGTGGTCTGCAAACTTTGTACAGTGTTACACTGAGTAGTACATGTATATAATGTATAAATAAATAAATATACATATATTGGGGGTGCTTGCTCAAACATTTTTTACTGATGGGATGAGCAATCAAAAAAGTTTGGAGACCACTGGCTTACACTGTGTCTTTTCAGTTTCCCCAGAAGTCCTAGACAAGGAACAAACTGCAAATAAGAGCAAGGGATGACTTATGACCTGCAAAAAGCTGTTCTCAGGAGCTAGGAAAGCAGCAGCAAGAAGATAAACTGTTCTAGGCTACGTGTTTCAAATGGACAGTCAAAACTGCCATCACAGCCAGCCACTATTGCACACAGGCAAATTTTAAACTAATGGGTGCTCACCCTCACATGACTGATAGCACTACAAAGATAGTGGACAAATGGAAACCTGATTAACACTTGGATAACACCAATGGCATCAGTGTCTTAAAAAAATGAGAATGCCAGACTAAAAGTCACTAGGTGCACTTAAAACCAGTTAAGATGTAGCACAATCAAGGACAGAGGTAACAGGAACATATAAAAGTTGGAAGAGAAGCCTATAGCAGGAAAAAGAGGCTCCAACATTCTGATCAGTCTTATTAAATATCTTTGTTATGATCTGCACATAGAGATAGCAAAGTAATGAATTTACAAATTGGTGCTATGTGGGAGGAGATGCAGACACCAGTCATGAGACAGAAACAAGAAGTTATTTAAACAGACATGGGAAAGGAAGAGAAAGAGCTTCAGCTTAAAAAAAATGGAGCACATACATCTGGGGCTGGTTATATCAAGCAATGGAAAGGAGAAATCTGGGAAGCAGAAAGTGGGAGGCAGAGGGGGTGAGACTAACAAGCACCAGGGACTAGCAAATTAAGTATTACCCTGCAGTGCCACATGGGGTGAATAAAAAATCTATTATTTAAAAATAATATATATTTAAGAGAGATTTTTTATTTTGTTATTTAAACGCAGAGAGTTTTCTCTTTTAAGAAAAAGAGCTTGTTAAAAAATTAATTTGATTTTAACACAACATGTGTTAAGACTTAATTTTATTATAACCTCATGAAAATGTAAATTAAAAAATGCTGAAATCTACGCACTCCTAGCAAAACTTTGAGAAATCCCCTGCATGTGTTTCAATATAAAGAAAAAAAATCAGGAGAAAACCTCTTGCTTTGGAGATCAAGTTTCATAAATGTGGGAGAGTAGGCCATGCACTGTATTAAGGGCTTCATCTGTAGGGGAGGCAGGGAGGGTGTTGCTAAGTACAAGAGACTGGCAAAGTCAGCAAAGGGCACAAGCCATCTTTGCACAGCAGAAGCCTCTTGCAGACAGAAAAATATATATTTCATATTCATTCCTCTTTCAAACTGAACATTCAAAAAGGGTGAGAAGCTGACTGGGAGTTGGAGAAGCAGGAAAACTTGTTTCCCTTCCAGTCTATAAATAATAATGAGGAGGTAGAACCTGAGATGTACCAGTTTTAGCACTTGGAAGAACTAACCAACTCCGGAAATCTTCTAATTTTCAAGAGACTTTGGTGATTAGAAATACAAGTCTCAGTCACTTTCAGAAAGACACACTGGAAATTTTTCCTAAGCTATCCTGAGAGAATCTAATTCACTGACTATAGTTATTCCCCTCCCCCTCTTCCATAAACCATTCTCCTGTAAAAAATGTGGAACATGTTTTGGTAAGAAAACTTTATGTACCCAATTCACTTAGGACTGTTTTGTTTAATAAAAAATAAATGTTACCTGCTATTTTGAGTGTTTAATTACACCAGATTTGTCATCATAACACAGTTGCTTGACAGTGAACAAAAGTAAAAAGTTAATTAACCAGTAAATAAATAAGGTATACCTGATCATTTCTTAACATACTAAAATGTGAAATTAACAGGATTCTGAAAGCATCAATCGATATAATTGCTTAGACAAATGTCTATAATGTAACGTCCTATGTCACAGCAAGACATACCAAATCTGGCATGAAGGTTCTATTAGTGATAAATTTATGCAGCTTAATGAATCTATCAACAAATAAGAACACACCCTTCTTTAGAAAAATAACTTAAATACAAATGGAAAAGGTGCATTAAAATAGATTCTTTCAATGTATGAATTCCACTTTCACCCTGATTTATATCAGGAGTGGCCAAGCAACATGGGTAGCCCCTGTGCCTGGCACATGGCAGATCAGGGAGGGGCCAGGCAGCACAGCAGCAGACAGGGCAGGAAGCTGAAAGCAAAGCAGCAAACCAGGCAGAGAGCATGGGGGCTGGGAGCAGAAAGAAGAGTAGTAGATTAGGCAAAGGAACAGGATCAGAGTGGCGCTTGGGGGAGTGAAGCTAATTTGTGGCACACCTGCCAAACAAGGTTGGCTCCAAAGATTTATAGTCAATCCAGCCCACTGCCATGTGGCTGGACATGAAAAGGCAACCCAACAGAGGTCTCAGGATGTCATTTCAGCAAAGGTTGTATTCATTTTGAGGTATCATATAATCAGGAATAGAGCTAAGTAAGCAGAGCTGTTCCTTAGCTAAGTTAAGTAAGTGGGACATAATCCGCAAATATTTGAAGAATGTAAGCACCACGGAGAAAGAGGATTTCAGCATGCTACAGAATGGCATAACTAGCATTATTGAAATAAACAAGGCTTGAAAAATCCTTTTACTCCAAGCAAGTGGAAAGTTGACACTTACAAATTAAAAAGCATTTGCACTACTTGCTTAGGCAGCATTTAAGTTTGCCTTTAAAAAGTTCTCTAATCATTGTTGGTATTAAGGTAACCTACCAGAAAGTGAGCTGTGTTGAAACAGCTGTAGTGTCAGTTTTCAGACACTACAAATTTCTGCGTATAGGTTTTCCAGGCACCAGGAATGTGAAGTTATAGTTATACCAAGGCTGTCTGCATTTGCCAGAAAAAACTCTACTAAAAACTAAATGGGTTTCTGTGACTCACTGCTCTGAGTTGCTTGTTAACCAACACAGATAAAGCAGCAGGCAGGACGGAGGCTGGGGGAAGAAGAACCCTGAAAATAACCAATATTTGGACTGGATTTTATGTTTTAAAATTTCAGTTGTAAATAAAGCCAATTGCCAGGAAGGGGAGTAAGATCTGCCCTCAAAAGTCTCCACCCTGTAGTAGGTTAGAAGTTTACTCAGAAGACTGATCTGCTTCAAAGCCTCTATTCCTTGTTCACCACAAAATATGAACCTGCCAGTGTCCAAGACTAAGAAGAACCTCAGAAAAACAAATAAACAAACAAGGTATTTCAAATTAGGGAAAACTAGCTGAAAAAAACCACTGCATTACAAATTTCCCTAAAGTGGACCAACCCCACAGTATTTATAGAATAAGAGAAAGGCAAGGCTGAAAGGGACTTCAGAAGGCCAACTAGTCCAATCATCTGCCTGAGGCAGGAGTAGCTCCATTCTAAACCAAATCTGATCCATGTATTTTTCTAACCTGCTCTTAAAAACTTCCCAGGATGGAGATTCCACAACCTCTCTAGGTAGCCGGTTCCAATGCTTAGCCATCCTCAAAGTGAACACATTCTTCTGAATATCCACCATTTCCCCTGCTGCATTTTAAGATTGTTACTTCTCATCCTGTCCCCCGCAGCCACAGAGAACAGTCAATCACCAATCCTCTTTATAACCAACCTTCAGTCTTGGAAGATTTATCAAATCCCCTCTCAGTTTTCTCTTCCCCACGCTAAAAAAATCCCATTCTTCCAATGCTTCCTTATAAATCATATTTGAAGACCTGTAATCATTTTTACTATTTTCCACTGGATTCTTCAAAGTTGTCCCTATCTTTCTTGAAACACAGTGCCTGAAACTGGACAACATCCTCCATGTAAGCCCTCACCACTGCCAAAAGGGAACAGCAGAAGAATCATTCTCCTTGACTTCCAAGAAACATTCCTATTAATACAGCCCAATAGACTATTGAATGCTCATTGCTCCACATCATCAAAAGGCTCTCCCCAAAGGCAGGAGAAATGTGGCACTGTCATTCTTAGAGTGCTTCTAGCCAGGAAGTCCAACCTCTATTCTACAGACATTTTGCCCAAATAGGAAAGGCCACTCAGAAGATGCTCAGAGGAGAACCAGAGAAAGGTTGGAAGTTGAATTCGGTGCAAAGAAAAGTGTGTGATAAATCTTTCCATTTCCTTTCCTGTTCTTCTGCAGGTATGCAACCCTACAATTCAAATAAGGTCAAAGCCTCTGTACCAAGCAAAAATTCATACTGGGCCTAAACATAATCACAGCCTTTGCTTCCTTTCCTTAAAGCTAATAACCTTGACTGAAAAGCAGAGGATAGGTGAAGTGATGTTTAAAGTAAAAATGACTTACCTGCAAAATCCAGTGCCATTGGGATATGAGAAGCACTTTCCCTCATTGACACAAGGCTTAGAAATATCCAGACATTGTAAGGCTGAAAGAAAAAAAATACCAATAATATACCAGATCATCATTAACATATTTTTAAATTTAGGTTGCATTCAAAAGCTTAAGTCTATCCCAACCATGCCCTTGGTCCAATCAAATATACCTACATAAATCTTTGCCTCTAAATAAATAAATAAATAAATACAGCCTCCAGGGACACCTGCATTAAATAGAGAATATTTGCTGCCAGTTCTTCATATTAATCTACAAATGGATGCAACATAACAGCCAATATGTCAGATAGGGTTATGGTTAAGGAATAAACAAGTGCAGGCGGTTATTACGGAATGATATTTACAGTAAAAATACAAAGGGAAAAGCCATTCTGTAGGATGAATTCAGACTCTCTCAGCACCTTTTAATGAGGCATCAAAGTATTGTCTACAGCAGGGGTCAGCAACCGCTGATCCATGAGCTGGATCTGGCCTATGAACTTGGCTGATTGATCCTGGAAAGGTCCAGGCTTACAGAGGGAACAGTGACAAAGAGCTGTGTTGGGCTTTGCTGCCCACAGCAAACTCCTCTGTTACATCTGTCCTTACCCTCACTGTAGAGGGCAAGTGCAGGCAATCTGGTTGATCCAAGGGGCAGAGACTTGCAGCCTGTGGGTAGGGTCAGGGCACAAAAAAGCCCACATTACCAAAACGTTGCTAATCCCTGGTCTACAGGGTAACACTTAATCAAGTCAGGAGATTTGCCACTTGCCTCCAGAATACATCTTGAGCAAGTCACTCAACCCTGTGATTCTGTTCCTGCCTTCATCCCCAGATACACACTGCCAACTTTTGTCTACTTAGACCAGTGATTCTCAACGACTGTGCTGTAACATCCTGTAGCACCTTTGCTTACTTTTAAAGGTGCCACAGGGTGCCAATATTAGCACTGTTTTGTTTGCAAGCACATTCACACGATTCACAGGGTAAGCCCAAAGACTTAGTGCCTGAAACATTCCAACATGTCTTTCTGAGTTCTCTGCTCTATTATTTTTCTGTAGCCAAAAAACTGAGTGACAGCTAAGAGCTGGCATTTTCTACAGGGATCCTATCCCCTCAAGTCTAACAAGGTTGAAAAAAACAATGATTTAAACTGAAAGGTTACAGTGAGACAGTCCCTACTCTGTGTTTGTAAATGCTTAATACAACTGAGCTGGGCAAAGGCCTGCAGGAACATCAGTAACAAGAGAGTCACCTCCTGCAGTGCTGTTATGATCTGCCCACTCATGTGTTCTAGATGCTGTAGGGTAGATGGCCCCTTATTTCCCATTTTTTATTTTTACTGATTTGTACCAAATCCTGAACAATTCTATTCATCTTATCTGGATTTCTCTGGATTACTATCATGTAAGTGAAGCAAACACCTGCCTTCACAAATAACACGATTAAGGTAAAAAATAGAGGTGGAAAGTTCTAGCACAAGCCAGCACCAAGGTCTAAACTCTGGACATGAATCACAAAGTGGACTTGGTGGACTCCCTCACAACGCAAAAAGGGCAGAAGTATCAAGCCACTAAAGCTTCTCAGCATCCAGACCCACTTCTGTCTAGTGATGATACAAACACTCAGAGGATTGCTGTCACACTTCCAGGACTTGAAAGGCTATTTCTCAACAACTGATGAACCTGTTATTAAGTTGTTTGCTCTACCAAGTCTGTAGAAATATTATATACTTGCAACTGCAAGAGAAGAAAATAGAATTAAATCCAATAACCTAGAGACACAGCATTACTATTTCTCACAATATGTGAATGCCTGTTTCCTGTTAACTTGATTTCTGAAAAACGGGCACTTGGGCAGTCCAGGCTCTGCTCAGCACTCAGGAAATGAACAAAATTCCACTTGGAGCCCCTTAAGATAACCTGAGGTCAGAGTTACTAGGCAACAAGAGCAGAAACACAAGACTTTACACAATCATTTTCAAGCAGCCACCAAAAAAATGCTTAGACAGATTATGCTTCACACCTGCCCCCTAATTATTCCTCCCTTGACCAGTCACATCCAAAATACCTACATAATAAACTCTCACTCCACCAGCCCCCAAGAGTGGGTCTGTAACGTTATTGAAGCAGCAGCCCAAGCATTTCCACGACAACCGTTAGACTGGGTTACCTCCGCTTTTAATTGTAAAGTGTTTGTTAGAAGCCCAAACAGCAAGTTAGAATTCAGAGACATCCCGCACTATGTTTCTCCATTACCTTCCGAATAGTATGAGAACGCATTCCCAAATTTTAACAGACTAAGCCAGGAAGACTTAGGTGAGAACGCATTCCCAAATTTAGTATGAGAACGCATTCCCAAATTTTAACAGACTAAGCCAGGAAGACTTAGGTGAGAACGCATTCCCAAATTTAGTATGAGAACGCATTCCCAAATTTTAACAGACTAAGCCAGGTGTCCAAGAAGAGTGGTCACTCCTTAAGGAGACGATCCTCCAAGCCCAAAGGAAGGTAATCCCAACGAGGATCAAAGGGAGCAGGAGGGCACACAAGCCTCCATGGCTCACCAAAAGCATCCGGGAATGTCTACTTGCTAAAAAGGAGGCTTACACCCAATGGAAAGAAAGGGTCATCACCAGGGAGGACTATTCTGCAGTTGCTCAGGGATGTAGGGGGGTAGTTAGGAAGGCCAAGGCAGAGATGGAACTGGGACTAGCTTCCCAGATTAAGGACAATAAGAAGTCCTTTTTTAAATACATAGGGGGTAAAAA